ATGTGAAACAAAGAATTCAAATAAATATTTCTTGGATACATTTGTGTTGAGCATAAATTTATCCTTACACCATAAACACTGAAACAATCATAAATATTTGTAAACTAAAACCCGAAATCAAAAAGGAATTTATTGAAAATTTGATTAGATTTCAAATTAAATATATCAGATGATCATGTATATGATAAATGCATGAAGTCTGCGATTTGAATATCAGTATCAAAAGTATTCGTGGGTGGATGTAGAAACGACCACACAATGAAGTAGGTAACAAAACGACGTGTGATTCGAATACAATCACGTACCCGATATATTATTGAAGAAACTATTTAAGAATCAAAGGGGAATACGTTACTTTATTCGGATATAGAATCTTCCGCAATAACTAGAAAATAAAAAAAGCATCGTTGACTCATACGTGACTAACTGTAACATCTTTCCCTCGAAAAATTCAACTTATAACTTTTCGCGTGCTAAAGACCACACAGTGTCTGATGTCATCGTTTAAGCTCGATACCCTATACACCAGTCACTTTGTCAATCGCCAACAGTTCAGATTTGAACTTGACGTTAATTCAGTACCCGTGTTATTGAACGATGACAATTGTTGATTTTAAACTAACACGTATATGTATGACCCCGGACACATATGTACGCGGGTTAAATTCATACGTGTACGATACGCAATATGTATATGAACATCTCAGCAGAGACACGTATACACATACCTGTGTACAGAGAATATGCAAATTCATTTGTGTGTGTGAGAGTATGGACACATACAAGCAAGTGGTACGTTGTATGTGTATGGAAAATGTTCACCGTTCCCGAAAATGTTCGCGAACAAGAGACGAACGGAACGTGGATTAACTGACAAGGTTTACCTTTAAATAAATAATCGTATTCATCATCTCGAGTGCCCATCTCGTTTGAAGTTATAAACCCCTTTTAACAGACTGACGGACGGTGCCTAGATCTATCAGGGATACACTGCTACGGTTCTATAGTTATTTACAAAAATGCAGGAGCCTCGTGTCGGGCCCCGTACACTGTTGCTTTCCGCGGAACTAACGGCTGACACTGTCCTGGATGTACACGGCGAAAATTCGGAACGAAACAGGCACGACCACACGATGATATAATTATTTTCGTTCTTTCAATTTAACTGTACAATATGGCCTCCTTTCTACGCCCCTCCAAACTGATGAATTACACATGCGCAATGCGCGCCTGTCGTACGCACGCGCAGATTGAACACGAGTAACGTTCATTCTAGATTAGGATCTGAATGACAAATCATGGAGCAATAGATACATAGCGAAATTTCGGTGCTTTCGCTGATTAATTTGCATGCGCATTTTAATGCGCATGCGTCTATAGCTGGATTTCTTGTGAATTAGCGGCTAATCTAATGTTAATTATTAGCCTCTGAAATCCATATTTAAATGCGCATGCGTGTATAAGTTTGCACATAAAATAAAGATTACTTGTTCGTTCAAAGTTAGGAATCAAAACAGATGCAGAGGCTCAAATTTAAGAAGCGGTTTAATAAAATATATAAGAAAATGTAAGTGTTTGAATTTTATACTTTAAGTCACTATGTTATATACGTATTGAATTTATGAAAGCAATTGTTTGTGTATAATTTGTCGTACATTGCTTTCTATCATATTACATTTCAAATGTTTCCGCATTTTCCAACGTTCTCAATTTTTTGCATGCAACCTCCTCTTCTTACTTCATGCAGTGATAATATCCTGTGTTAGAAAAAAAAAGAAACAATTTATTTTATATATAAGTTATTCTACAAATTCATCTATAGGAGAAATAATTAATCCGTCTATGTTACCGAAGTTTTTAAAAGTGTCATTTATTAAATGAATTTTATTTATTAACAGATTTTTAAGCAGCCGTCTTTTCAAGTACACTGGCCATCGTCATTCACTTTCCTATCATAGACACATATATTATATGGTCATGTATTAAGCAGTGCGAGTTGAGCGAGTGTAATGTGCGATACATACATTACTTTTCGATTTGTTGCGGGCTTGTTCACAAGTGCATCGCGTGTTGATTATGTATTTATGTATATTTTTCTATGCAAGACAGTGATTTTACAATATAACTGAATGATTTCCAAATTAGGAGCAAGTATTAAACGAAAGACGACGTGATGAAGGTAAGTCATTATTCCTTTATTTCTTAATTCATTATCTAGAATCAAAAAATACAAACAACATCTTTCTTCTCCGATAGCGATTAATTTAATATAAATTATGATGAAATCGTGTAACTAGATAATGTCAGAGTTATTTACCTATATTATATGTCATCGACCGGTACGATATATTCTGAATTCATAAAATGACAGACGTTCCATTCGTTATAATGCGCACGTGTTGCCCTTTTCTTGCTTTAGGTTGATCATGAAATCGGCGATAAAGAATTATGTCATTGATTGTCGAAGCTAAAATCTAATCCCAAGTGACTGTAGGATAAGATATCAATCAACTATGAATAAGTTAACTAATATACCACCAGATGTAGATTTAGATGATCCAAAATTTAGGATCAGACCTTATCAACAAATTGTGGCATCATGTACTGGTGCTTGCATCACGTCCGTTATTGGTAAGTGAATTATTGTAATTACTAGAATTCATGAAATATTGCTAAAAATCTCCATTTATAGAGGTATCTTTTTATGTATATATATTATGAGCAATTACAGGCACTTAGCTACTATTTTGATCAATGATAGCATTATAATCGTACTTTGTATAGATTCTTCGTAGGAAACAATACTTTGAATTGTAGATACACATTCTCTATAACATAAATTAAAATATTAACAAACTTTAATAAGCTGTAAAATATGATTAATATAAAAATAATCCTTTGTTTTCAAGTTACTCCATTGGATGTGGTAAAAATTCGTCTTCAAGCACAACAGAAGGCAATGCTTTCAAATAAATGCTTTCTTTATTGTAATGGTTTAATGGACCACTTGTGTCCATGCCCAAATGGTAAAGATCCGCTATGGGCTAGGGGAAATGGAAAGTTTACTGGCACAATAGTAAGTGAAATTAATTTATTCTTATGATAATGATATGTATACATTAATGCCTCAATTTTCATAGGATGCCCTTACAAAAATTGGTAAAAATGAAGGAATTCTTTCTTTATGGAGTGGCTTAAGTCCAACTCTTATTTTAGCAGTACCTGCAACTATAGCATACTTTGTTTCATACGAACAATTAAGACTGTATCTTAAGGTAAACAGATTTTGTTCAACTTTGTTTGTGCTTTTGCATTTATTATCTAATATTGTATATCTGTTCTAGGATCAATATAATAACAAATTTAGGAAAGAAAAAATTAGTGTTAAATCTATGGAGCAGCCATTCTGGATTCCCATGTTTGCTGGTGCTACAGCACGTGTTTGGGCTGCAACTTTAGTTAGCCCATTAGAATTAATTAGGACAAAAATGCAGGCGCAAAAATTAAGTTATGCAGGTAGCTTGATTTTAGAATATTTCTGCTGACAGCTTCCTAATATTTTTGTTTACAATATGAGTTATTCAAAATATATATTAATTTATATGCTTCATTTTCAGAAATATTGCAAGCATTAAAAACTGTTGTCAGTCATAATGGTATATCTGGATTATGGATGGGATTAAGTAGCACTCTTTTGCGCGATGTACCTTTTAGTGCTATTTACTGGCTTCATTATGAGACTATAAAGCAAACATTTCGTGGAACACAACAAACTTTTACTTTTAATCTTGCAGCAGGTGCTATAGCAGGATCTGTAAGTGCACTTTACAATCTCACTCTCAATGAATTAATTCTGATTTTAAAACGTGTTTACATTCTGATATTACAGATAGCTGCGTTTTTAACGATACCGTTTGATGTAGTAAAAACGCATAGACAAATAGAAATGGGAGAAAAAGAGATCTATTCAGGTAGTAGTCCCTGAACAAATTTGTTACAGTTATATATATTTACGTAGAAAATTATTTTTTAAGAATTTCAAACGGAAATAATTAATTATCAATATCAATTGCAGATAAACCCGGACGCAGTAGAGGAACTTGGTCTATAATAGGAAAAATTTACAGACAAAACGGCGTGAAAGGTTTATTCACAGGATTGATCCCACGAATAATAAAAGTGGCTCCAGCTTGCGCGATAATGATCGCAACATTCGAACACGGCAAGCGATTCTTTCAGACATACAATGCTAACACAATACTTCAACGTGAAAATAACTTACAGTACCTACAACACAAAAAGAATAACGACGAATGACATGTATATTTTGTTATGTACCATAAAATCCCTTTCAATCTAACGAATAAATTTTATTCAAAACTTCTTTGAGTTTCTCACGGAGAATCTATTGTTTTCTTATTTAAGTATTAATATTTGTTTAAATTTCAGTCATGAATTTTTTTCGCGCTTAATTTCATGGTTGTTTTGTCAGATGACGCATCGATGTTTTTCTATGGTAAAACAAATTCAGATTGTAAAGAAACGTGCCAATTTTGAAAGTTAATAAATTCTGGTTAATTGACAATTTACTCTTGTAATATTAAGTTGTAAACAGAGACAAGATAAAATAAATAGTTATATAATTACTATTCTATTATTTAGGAGTATAATAAAATATTATTAATTATTTAAAAAAGTATTTTCCACAGTGATAAAATATATAGAGAACTACATACAAAAAAAGTTGCGTATTTATTGATAAATTATAATTATTATTGTTTTGAATTTGAAAAATTGTTATTGCTTATAATACAATTACAGCTTTCAATTAAATAACAGATAAATTTCGAATTTTTTTTCAAATAGCTTTTCTTAAGCACAGCAGTAGCAATATTTATATAGGTTAAAATATGTTGAACGAGCATCATTGAAGTATCAATCATTTTTAATTTCATTTAAATTTGTTAAATTTTCGATTTCGTATGTACATAAAAATAGATTAGTACTAGAATCCATCGCATAATGTACACAAGTCGTGTTAATGTACAATTGTATACAATATAGTAATACTTCAAGTTTTGCAAGACTGTCCGCAGCCGCAGTGCGCTATGTTAGCGAGAATAGGAATACAAATTTCTTTGCTCTGATTGACTGACTTTCTAATGCTAAGACAGGATTTACTGCAGATTGGATGCGCAGTAAAATGATGGGATGAATGCAAAAGCTAAGGGAGGTAGAAATATCATGCAAAACCTAAGGTGTCTTACTTGTATGCATATGTATTATTGTAACATAGATGTACGTAACGTAAATGTAAGTAAAAGTGCAACAGTGTAAGTGTAGGATACGTGTGGTGATATACCATATGATACTGTACCCCGTTGAGGACATTTAATCGCTGTTAACTCATAGCAGTTCATAGTGCTCATGGTGAGATACAAACAATACATGAGAAATGTTCTTCATAATGTTATACTCTATTAATCGTATTTAAATCAATCTTATCCGTACAATATTTATTGCAGTACAATGGCATCGATTTTTAGGGTCAACTTCTTAAAAGTTAATCCTGCAAGATGTTTAAATCGATTATGTAAGGTTAGTATTCTTAACAGTATAATTAAGTTAACAATGTAAAAATAACTGTCGAACCATATTTTGGTGTTTTGTGTATTAAATATTTTATTTTCTATTATTTTCTTATAGCCTAGAAATTAATAAATTTGTCATACACATATATTTATATCTTATATTAATAAAATAATTATTTGTGTAGTGATCATTAAAAATAATCTTTTACTAGCAAATATTATTTGGAACTATTGTGTGTCGTGTCAATTGTTATTTCCTTTTTTAATTTACAAAGTTTTTATACGTCTATTTAAATATTTAATCTCGCGATTATAAATTATAAAACTTAACTAAAAAAAATTAATTTCTTCTTGATCAATTAATTTTCAGGTATCAAAAAATTATAATGTAGTGCAAGTGGCATCCATGACAAGGATTGCTAATATGAAACATGTTAATAAACCTCCTCCATATCCCTATTGGAAGAAGCATTATCGCCCTGTTTTGGATTCATTGGATCCAATGATATATAGGTTTGATGAAAATACAAGAATAGTGGTTGTGGATGGTCCTCCTGCTGTTGGGAAAACTAAAGTCTGTGAAAAAATAGCAGCTGATTTTGGGATGCTATACATGCCACAGCCAACGCATGACCAAATATATGTCTATCGCGATGGATTTGACAGAAGAACGTTGGATCCACAACTGCCACCACATATACAGTCTTATGATATATCAAAGTTTTTAAAAAATCCTACTGATAAAAGGGCAGCACTGTTTCAAGTACAGTTTTTCTGGATGAGACACAGTCAATATATGAATGCAATACTACATTTAGTGTCAACTGGTCAAGGAGTGGTTCTTAATCGATGCTTTTTCTCAGAACTTGCCTTTGCTATAACCATGAAGCAAGCTGGATATATGTCTCCCATGGCATTTGCGCACTATGAGATGTTAACATTTGTAGCTTCTTGTTTTTTTCCAAGACCACATATAACAATATATTTGGATGTACCTGTACAGGATGTTCAGGTATAATTCTCTTATAATTTAGCAGTGGATTGTAATACTTCCACTTTTCACTATCTTCTCTTATTGTTTCATTCCAGGAAAAAATTAAGCGAAGAGATAGATCAGGAGAAGCTAACTCAAAAGTGTTTAGCACACAATTTTTAACCAATTTAGAAAATGCATACAAAGAGAAATATTTAAAACCTCTGTCTAATCATACATACATATTAGCTTATGATTGGTCTAAAGAGGGTGATCTTAATACCATAACAAGTGATATTGAAAACCTAGATATTGATGATGAAACAAGCACTATGACAAAAGACTGGTACTTCTGTTCAGTGTCAAATCTTAAAAGGCTGAGAGTAGGAGTTTGTCGTGAACGAGATAAGATGTACTATGATATGATGGCACAGGCTGAAAAATATGTAGCTCCAGAGTTGCTTCAAAGTGCTGAAGAAGAAGAAATTGAACAAAACGTATGGAAAAGCGTAAGTACAATAACAACAACTATTATCTACTAATACTAAAATGATTTAAGAATATGTAATTTTGTTTTCTTTGTAAGCATCCTGGTCTACGATATGCGTACGGCTACAGTCCCAAAGACAAACCATTTTTTAAACATTATTTGGGTCCTCCAGATCGTGAACTTTTTCGAAATAGTGAACAAGATTTCATAAATCGAGGCTATTAGATTTTAAAATGATGTAAAGCATTTTTCGAATAATAAAATGTAGTCATTCTATTATGCTTAATATTATAATGTAACGAAATAAATTCGTTTCAACATATAGTATGGACTACTTAATTTATGGAAATATTAGCTATTAAATAGACTATGGTACTATGTATTACAAATAAACTATAGTATATATACAATATAATGTAAAGGTACCCAAAATCTATAAAGTTTTCCAAATACTTCTCAATTTAAAAAAAAAATTGAAAGTAGGAAGAAATTTCAATTATGTACACTGTGTGATTCTTTAAGTTCAAAATTTGTACCTCTTCTTTAACTTAAATTTTTCACCAGTTGAAACTTGGAAATCTGAAAATGATTAAAATTTATTGGTTCAATTTCTTACTTTCTGAGACTAATGATTTCATAAAATAATGAATCAAATTTTTGTATTA